AGCCCACCTCTCTCTCACGGTGCGCCCCTCAGCCGGCTCCCGGGCCCCGCCCCGGGCGACCCCACCCCACCCCACAGTGAAGCTGATCTGTCCCAGCTCCACGGTTTTGCTTTTGAAACCGTACAAAACACCGACTTCGCGGTGGCCCTGACATCCCAGCCACCGTCACCTGTGCCGGAAACCGCCCATAAACTGCTGTCAAGTGGACAGGACGTCGCGTCACGTGGACGTTTAATCACACGTTTTATTGTCTAGTCTCTCCGAGTCCGGAGTCAGCCGACTTCCTCCGTCTGTTTCTGGCAGGTTCGCCATGGGCCTGCCCACCTCCGGCGCTGAGACTCCTGGTCACCTTTTTGGTCGGACCGCTGAGCCCTGGGGGCCTGGGGTGTTGGGAGCCTCGGGACAGTAGGTAGACAGGCCCAGACAGACAGCTGGACCTCGGCATGGTAACAATGACAGGCATGGTTCTGCTTTCGGGAGCTTGAAGACGGAAACCCCAGCAGGGATCCCATGTATGGGGCCATTTAAATTTCAAAAAGGACTGGCCTCTGCTTTGGAATCTTGAGCACAATCAAATAATCTGACAGCCAAGACCGAGGTCAGGGCCGGGACACCTGGCACAACGGCCCACCCAGCCCACGAGCAAGCAAGGGGGACAGGCCCAGAGAGAGAGGATTTGAGCCACGATGGAGAAAACCCGCCAGGGAGCCGAGCCACCCCCCCCTCGCGTACCCGGTGCCCCCCAGGCCCTCTGCGGGGCGATCGGGGGGAGGGTGGCCTGAGCCGGCCAGCTAGGATGTGGGAGGCTGAAGGCAGCGGGCAAGCGGGCAGTTCCCGACTGTCCGCAGAGCTGGAATGCAGGCATCGCCCAGCCCGGGTCAGGAGGGCTTCCTGAAGGAAGCGGCAGTGGGGGGGCAGCAGGCCGGGGTGAGGAAATGGCCTCGAAAGGCTGGACAGGTCCAGAGAACCACAGGAAGGAGAGGTGGCCATGTCCCGGGGCACCTGGTGTCAGAATCAGGGGTCACCACAGGTCAGACCACAGAGGGCCCCCTGCTCCTTAAGAAGTTTGGGCTTCACCCCACACTCAGGCGGGCCCGGCAGGGCTGTCCACAGGATCGACCTCTCAGGCTGAGGGCAAAGGACACCATGGCTGTCACACCCGGTGTCACCAGGGAGAGGACAGTGGGAGGGGCCAAGGCGCCGGCGGCTGGGTGCTAGGTGCTGGGACGGAGAGAAGCGGCCAGCTGTGGGAGACATGAGGTGGAGGGACGCGTGGGACACGACTGAGCGCGAGAGAAAGGAGGCAGGACAGAGACAGCCCTGCCCCCTCGGGCCACTCTGCAGACGGACTCGAGCCACAGAGACGGGCACGGGTTCCTCTGGGGTCTGCTGAGCGTGGGGCACACGAGGATGTCCCCGCGGAGATGCCTGTGAGCCAGAACACGGGCATTTCAACGTCCCAGCCCTGCAGACACTGTGGCTTGTTGGGTGCAGGCTCCCCCCTGCGTCTCCTCTGCGCCGCTGAGCTCCATCTGCATCATGGGGAGCACCCTCCTCTGCCGCCTGGACGTCCAGGGTCCCTCCTGCTCCATCTTAGGACCCCTGGGGACAGTTCTAGAGGCATTTCTGATCCGCCCGCACGGCCCAGAGCACCCCTCCTCGGACAGGTGCTAGACGGACTATGTGCACACGCCGCGTGGCCCTCACGTGGCACAAGCTCAGCCCTGACCCCAGGACGCTCCCTTTTTTTCCCACCCACTCTTCTCCTGCGTCAGCTGGCCCACACTCCTGGCTCTGTTGGGTTTCGGGGTGATGCTGGTGCACCCCGCCTCTCACCCAGAGGACCAGGCCTCGCTTGGGGACTACGCACACCGGCCCTCTACAGGGCCTGCTGGTGGCCCTGCACCCCCTTCTCAGGGCTGAGACCCCCAGGAGAGGAGCCTGCTCCGCCCAGCCTGAGATGCCCAGGGCAGCAGAGAGGGAGAGCCAGGGTCCGGGGTGCCCACCCGGCGGGGGACATGGGGCACAGCACTCATACCAGACATGTCCCCCGAGGGGCCCCTGAGACACTGGCACAAACGACCAAATATGAAACTTCCTACACCACTAAGTTACACCTGAGAGAAATCTGTAAAACGGGAATGATGGATCTGTAAAAATTAAATTAAATCTGAATTCTCTAATGAGCACAGGACACAATTGGCCCACATCCCCACGTGACCGGTTAAGGAGCCGGGGCTGCGATGGGCCAGGCAGCCCCCCGGTTCCCCAGCTCGTAGGTGGCAAAGCAGGAACCGAAGCCGAGTCCCAGAACCCCGAGCCTGCTGGTCCTGGTTCTCTCCACCTCGGGCCACCTGGAGTCAGACGCCCAAGTGCTGGCCAGCGAGCGGGACAGAACAGCCAGGGCCACTCTCCGGCGTGGGACCCGGGCAACCGCAGGGCCCTGTGCCTCGCCGCTGTAAAATTGCTCACGTTCTCAATTTGCCGGAGGCCCTACAATGAAGCAGCTGGTCCTACAGCACTGAGTCACTGAGCCGCTCAACTATCCCAGGTCACCCACGGGTGACACTGTCATCTAGAGGGATGGCGAGCGTGGGGACCTGTCCTGCACAGACGTGGTCAGCGGGGGGGGAGGGTCCACACTCACGTGAGGGAGATGCTGAAGTGGAAACGCTGCCGGAGGCCCCGGAAGGTGACGAAGGACTGGGGCGGGAAGCTGCGGGTGGTCACCTCGCAGTAGGGCCTCTCGAAGTCGCCGGGGGGGCACACGCAGTGGAAGCCCCCGATGAGCAGGTTCACGCAGGTGCCCCCGTTCTTGCACACACCGTTGGCGCAGCGGCCCGAGCGCACGTTCACCTCGCAGTGGTCGCCTGCAGGGCGCGGAGGGGACACAGGACAGGAGGTCACAGGGCTGCCCGGGAAGGAGCAAACCACCCGGGAGCCCTGGGGACATGGCCTCAAAACCGGCTGCTGGAAGAAACTGCGATGGGCCGAGGCTCCAGATGGGAGAGTCACCCTGGGGGCACAGCGGGGCTGGGCGCCACTGTACAGGCGCAGTGGTCTGGCTGGGCGATCCCTGTTCTCCTGGAGGGGAGGACGCCCTCGCCCACACAGGGTGGACGTCACCTGCCCCCTGGCAGACCCGCAGACCGTCAGGAGCTCCTAACAACTATAAATTCACCAGCTCTCGCTGACATTCTCTGCCAATTACTGAATTTTTTAAAAAAGCATTTTAAAATAAAAGTATTCCATCCACATACTTAGAAAACAAAAAGCTCGGCCTGAAGAGGGAGAGTCTGCAGCAATTTCCTGCACATCCCCGCAGGGAAAGTCACCAAGCTGGGTGCCCCCGCTCCCCGCCCATGCCGCCGGCATCGGCCTTCTCTGCTCAGCGCTGGGTCTTAGCGACCCTTCCCGCGGCACATGGAGTGCCACGCTTCCTTTTTCGTGGCCGAGTAATATTCCACCAGTGCGCCCCATCAAAACCGAAACCATTAATGTTTCTTGTGCTACGATGGGTGGGCACGTACACTGTTTATATTTCTCTTTTATGGTAAATAACTTGTCAATATCCGCCCTTGGTGTGCTTTAAGAACACTTCTCTTGAGCCTGGCTGGTGTGGCTCAGTGGTCGAGTGTCCACCAATGAACCAGGAGATCACAGTTTGACTCCCAGTCAGGGCACCTGCCTGGATTGCGGGCGTGCAGGAGGCAGCCGATCAATGACTCTCTCGTCATTAACGCTTCTTTTTTCTCTCTCCCTCTCCTTTCCTCCCACTGAAATCAATAAAAAAAGCCCAAAAAGAATATCTCTCGAGAAAATTCATAGATTGCTTCATCAAAGGACACACACAGTTCCCATTCTGATATTTCCAAACTGCCCACCCAAAAGGATGCACAGACTCACCTGCCCTCATCAACACCACCGTCCGTGCGTAAAACATTCTGCATTAATGACAACCGATCTCAAGGTGTTTTATTTGCATTTATTTTTGAAGAGGTTCAGAATCTCTTTGCGTTTTACCGGCAACTTCCATTCCCTCTTCTTTGAGACGCCCAGTAATTCCTGGGCTTGTTTTTCTGGCGTCTGCCTGACACACCTTCCCGTCTTTATCTGCACTCACACCTTTTTTTATTTTTCGGTTAATCCTAACCCGAGGATATTTTTCCCATTTGATTTTTTTTTTTTTTTTTTTGAGAGATGGAAGGGAGGGAGGGGAGGGGAGAGCGAGCGAGAGAAACACGACCGTGAGAGAGACACATCGACAGGTCGCCTCCCGACCAGGCCGGGGATCAAACCTGCAAGCCGGGCACGTGCCTGTGACCAGGAGCTGAACCTGCGACCCTCCGGTGCGCAGGCCGACGCTCTAACCGGCCAGGGCTCACTCACACCCTTACACACACTCAGTCACACACAGGTACTACTTGCTTACCCACACGCATTTCACACGCTCACACACACGTGCTAACCCGCATTCCTGGCCTCCCCCGGGTGGAGGGCCCGCGGCCTTCGCAAATCTCTGCAGTAACGTCAAACCCTTAGCTTAAGGCGTGAGTGTCCCTCAGAGATTTCAAGTCCTCTAATCTCTGCTTTAAACACGTCTGTGACAGTTGGGAGTGTTTGCTGGGCGCGTTGGTGGCCAGGCACAGCGTTCGGGAATAATGAAGCCACGGTGAAAGGACAGGGTGGGGCGTGCTCCCCAAACCCTGACGGCAAACAAAGGGAGGCCAGCACGGCCTTCCGGGCGCTCCACCCTGGGGCCTTCCAGGTTCCTGCCACCCGGGCTCTGGTCCAGGGTCCAACGTCCACCTGGGTGACAGAGAGACCCCCCCCCCCC